CTTACGTGTCGCGTTCTCATCGTACGTATTCTTTGATATAATAAGATGATAGATCAATCGCTGCTCGATGGAAGAGACGTTAACATCAGTCATCACAATGGCTAAAGAGTGGCTCGATGTTCAACAAACCACAACCACCCTAACCGGAACCAAGCCCCAACAGGTCCAAAAAAATGTGGAAGAACTCGTGACTTGCCAATCAGATGCATAATCTAAAATTGCAGGGCTTGGCTTGATTTTTCGGACACAAGAAAACAAAGTGTTAGAACAGAGCACAGTTCTTACACACGTTACTTCTTCTCTTATGGCGGAAGCTTTAGCTCTTTGGGAAGCCATCTACTACGCCTTGGAGAAAAAGTTCACAAACCTGAGATTTGAATCGGATTCGAACCAACTCATCAACGCCATAAATTCAGACACTTCGTTGTTGGATATATATGGTATTATCGAAGGCATAAAGGTTTTAGCCAAAGCCTTTAAGCATGCGTCTTTCATCTATATTAACTGGAAACTCAATGTAATAGCTGATAAACTCGCTAAACAATCTCTTAGCTTGAGGTTTGTAAACTCGTAATGATATGAATGAATGAAATCTATCTTTTGTTAAAAAAAAAAACGACGCTTCTAATCCAACATGCGACATTTTCCCATCTTCTTCCCATCTTTACGTTTTTATATCTAACTTTTACAAACCTGTTGATTGACTTCATCGTTTTCCTTTGAGGAAACTACCGTTTCTCTCTCCAAATATCTTTTTTTTTTCCAACTTAGCTGCCGCGAATTCTCTTCGATTACATGGATTGTGAATTAATAGAGATTTTATTGTTTAAATGTTGAATAAAATAATTCATTTTACTTAGGTGCACACTCAATTCACACAAATATTTACCTTAAAAAAGTGTTAATGATTGACGATTCTAAACAAATTAATTTATTTTCTGAAAAAGGCTCTTCAAATTAAGTACACGAAAACATCCATCAGAATCATGTGAAAATAGAGAAAGAGAATGATGAATCAGTAAACACAATACACAGACAGAGTGATGGAGAAAGATGGTAGAGATCAATAAATAAAAATTTTCTCTTCACATTGTTAAAAAAGAATATAAAGACTAGCGAGTAAGGAATCTACTAAACGGACATAAACTTCGTAAAATGTTGTGGCCTTGACAAACACAGATTGGATGCGATAAAGCGGAACAAAGTAATTTGCAAAAATTGAATCCCTCACGTATTAATCAACTCTATAATGAATCCCTTTAGTCGCTTGGAGGGTAAGTAGAAAACTATTTACCAAATTCGAAAAATATTCAATCAAATATGTACCCAATTTTAGAAAGAGATGGAAAAAGTAATTGAAATCGGGAATGATGTAGAAAACTTACGAGAGAATATAAGATCAAGGTGTCAACTATGTTTGTAACTCGAACAATTGTTCTGAGAACGTAAAAATACAAACATATGTTACACAACATCAACCGATTTTGTATTATTAGCAGTGAATACGAAAGATACATAAGGCGCAATTTTGCTACAAAATATATATCCAAAGATTATACAAAAATTTGACAAATTTTAACATTGAACGAATTTACCATAAACGCAGTATTACATTGTTAAATAAAAGAGTTTAGAAAAACACAATAATCATGATTCATCAGACGTTGTTGTAAGCCAAGTGATGAAGAGGTTTACCATCATCATCATCAAAAGGCAAGCTCACGTATTTTCCAACCTCGCCGTGAAAATCTTTGCAATACATATACATCACGGTGGTTGCAGCAACATTATACATCATTATAAACGTTTGAAACGCAGACACGATCACGATCTGAAGCACGAAGAAAACAATTGTCAACAATCTCCCATCTTCAATCGGAATAGAAGCTGCAGTTGTGCTTATCCAGCCTATAGGCAATGATGTTGCAGCGAAGAAGAAGAGAATAGAGAAAGAAACTCTTCTCATTCCTTTGGTCAAGCTTTTGCTTCTCTTCAATGCCTTTAAACCCCAAACTGATTCAACAACAACGATGACACAAGAAAGAATCCAATCGACCTGGAACTTGAGCATGACTACAATTGCGATGATCACTGCGAAAACTAGGAAACTGATTTCGAGACCTGGGATGATGATCTCGATTAGAGTCTTGAGCAAGAAGGCAGCAAATGCAAGAATAAAAAAGATCCCAAAAACGATGGAATTGACAGAAATGAGAGTAGCGAGAAGAGGTAAAAAAGAAGATAAGCTCGATTTCACTGCTGACATCAACTTCACAGGTCTTCCATAGAATCCTTGGAAGATGCTATGAGCGATTGATCCAATAGCTAAGAGATTGAAGACAGTGACGACCACGAGGTAAGCAATCGAAAGCAGAATAACAGTCTTGAAATCGGGAGTGACGCGTGGACGTTGTTGATCAGTGATGAGGCGGGAGACGGAGGGGTAGAGTGCGATGCAGAAGGAGTTGGGAAGAAGAAAGAGGACGGAGAGAGCGAGGAAGTGGCGTGAGTGAGCGTTGATTATACGTTTCGATTCCGATAAGACCGTCCAGAGATTCACCGGAGGAGGAGGAGTCGCCATTAAAGTTTTAGTAGAAGAGGAATGGAGAGACGTTGATTATCCGCTTCGAAGATAGTTTTTCGACTCGGGATATTCAGATATTAATACGGGTAAGATCGGAACGGGTCAAAATGAGCTTCCACCAAAGCGTGTGTGGAAGAC